GAGAAAGACAAGCATTTATCATGTAGCATTTTTTTGTAATTCTGCCTGATATTTTTATTGATACATGAATGAAAACTTGAATTTTTCCTACAGTCTACTATTTAAAATTTTATTGTATATATTTGGTATTATTTTCTAGAAAACATTCTCAGATTTGAAAATTGCAATGTAAATGAACTCACAGAATACTCCTAAGGGGAGGCCCAATTTTCACTTGTGCATAATAAAAACAAATAAAAAACACTAGTTTGTGCTGTATCATTACTGTTTATAAAAGATTTAAATAAAACTAGTCTTTCAAAAAGCATTCACCTTGTAAATGAACTTAAATACGTAAAGTTAGTATTTAAGTCATTTCTGTGGAATTTATCACATATTTTTTCCTTTGTAACAGTTGGCAACCCCATTCTCAAGGTACCCACAAAATGCATTTAGCATTTTGCTAAAATGCTAAATTTAGCATTTTTGCTAAAATGCTAAAATGCAAAATGCATTTAGCATTTAGCCCACAAAATGTCTAATGCATTCCTTACTCTGGCTCCAGTATTTACATTAGCAATGGAAACAAGCTGAAAATGAATACTAGTAATTCTAGTAATTGAAAGTATTTAAAATACAAGGTAAAAAAACTGGACATTTGAGTTCTCTGAATCCTTAAAGAAGGAAGGCAATGGCTTAATTTTAAGTCATGTAGTTCTATGTCTGTATGCTAGGAGGAGTTATTGAACAAGAACAGCTTGGTGACTGGCCAAATCAAGGGTTTATAAAAGGAATGTTATCACAAATGGCCACAGGTTCCTTGTAATAACTTTATGTATTTTGGCTTTTACTACTGCTGAAATTATAACTTCCAAACTATGACTAAGAAGCATTTTGAAGCTGGGTGTGGTGACTCACACCTATAATTCCAGCACTTGGGAGGCTGAGGCAGGAGGAGTGCTGTGAGTTTCAGGCCAGCCTGGGCTACAAAGTGAGTTCAAGGCCAGCCTGAACTGCATAATGAAACACTGTCTCAAAAAAAAAAAAAAAAGTCAAAAAAAAAAACATTTTGATAGCTCACAGCATACCAACTTTTAAGATGTAAGTATTCATAAACACTAATAGTCACAACTCAGAAACGTGAGTCTCCTTACTTTCACTTCTTGGCAGATGACTACGGATGAGTCTCTCAGCTTCTCAGGGCTGGCTTTAGTTCTTCATTTTTAAAAGGGGGTAAGTAATGAGCAAATGTAGCAGACATTAATCAATTAGAAAATGAGACTGCATAATTTATATCAATGGTGTTGCTCTTCTCCAGTAATCTGCTTGGGCCTTGGTTCTCTCTAATTCAAAGGCATGCTCAGACTTGGGCCAAGTTTTCTGAGTGTCACTCCAACATTCTTGCCCCCTGGCTGATAAGAAGCACCTGAGTATATTCTCTTGGTTATCTATCATGCTAAACTTTAATTTTGATTTCATATTAAGTACTATTACAAACTTCTGAGGTACAATAGCTGGGTCTCTACAAAATTCAAATATTAACATGAAATACTAATTTTTAAAAATTTCTATAGGCTAAGTTTCTCAACTATTTCTGGAAGGGGATAAATTTACTTGATCCTAGCCTATTTTTCTTCAGAAAATCAACAGGAAAGAAACAGTCAAGCTATTATTATTCAGGAAGTTTATTAATTTCTCTAATGACATGTTGTTGAATCAAGTAGCATTAGCTTAAAAGAATAACTACCATCTAAAATGTGTGAAAGCCCATCTGACCAACAGACATTACTTTTTTTTGTTTGTTTGTTTTGTTTTGGTTTTTGGTTTTTTTTTCCGGTACCTGGAACCGAACTCACGACCTTGCGCTTGCCAGGCAAGTGCTTTGCCGCTGAGCTAAATCCCCAGCCCCCAACAGACATTACTATATTCACTAGTGTCACAGTCATTGCCATTGGTACCTTGTGAAAAATCAGTAATGAGACTGATGTATGGTTTTAGTTTTTCTAAAAAGGGATTACTAAAATTCAACACATACCTGCATTTTTTTCAGTAACAGGACAAATACCAAATTAAAAAGGCCAGAGCAGAGTTTGGATATTATTTCAGTTTTTCAGATGGTCAGTTAATCTACCGTGATTAAGGGTGACACATGACTCAGTATCTTATGTTTTAGTTTTTCTTGTCTCTGTTCTCTAAACTTAGTTATAAGCAGTGTTAGGGATTGAAGCCAGTGTCTTGCACATGCTAGCTAAGCATTCTACCACTAAGCTACCTCCTCAGCCCTGAAACTCTTTTTAAAAGGGTTGGGTAATGATTTTACTGTGAATTATGTGAATTCAACTAATGTACAGACAAGGTGGCTCTGGTGCGAAGCAACCAGTGACCAGGGCTTCTTCTTCCTCTGTCCTGTTCCACACCAACTTGCTGATTTGACAAGACAGGTGCTTGCTCTTTGCAGAGGCTAAAGCATACTGAAAAGGTGGTCAGGAGTATGTGCTCACTCCTGTCCTCTGCCTTAGGGGACAGAGAAAAGCTTTAGGATAGAAGAAATGTGGGCTTGACTGGTCTTCAACGTTACTGTAGAAAAATCACAAGAAAATGTCCCAGAGACCACAGAACACAGCAGACATTATCAGGTCCAAAGTTCACTGTGTTGTGTGCATGCTTGTGGCAGCTGAGTTAGACTGGAGTGATACTCACAATATGTAACCATCACTTCTACTTGGGACGGGAATTCACAACAGGGGACAGAAGCCTGAAGAACCCTTCTGTTGCATGAGTTGCTTCTTTCATTTCTTCATCGTTCGTAAAGAGCTAGGGTGAGGGCAGCCAAGAGGCCCGCTGAAGGCCCGTGGAAGCTTTGCGCTGTGTGAGCCCGTGGTGCAGCTGCGCTGCGGGCCTGGCTCTGCGCAGGCCCATGTTGGCCCGGGGCTTAGGAAAGCCTTTCATCTCAGCACAGAACACCAGATGTCCCGTTCTCTCTCCAAGGTGCCTAACGTATTGCTATGCCAAACTTGAAGGGAAAACAAGCTGTACTCCAACAGGTATTTGTCCTGTTACAGGTGGAAAGACTGTGGTTGAAAGAGCTACTAGTCATCCAATTTTCAGAAATCTTACTTTAGCTATTATTTGTAGATCACAGGTCGATGGCTTGATGTTTCTGATGTCCCATATTTAAATGCATAAAATAGGAGGTCAACAGAAAAATAACCTGACAACAGCGGGGTGAGTGCGCTGTGTGGGATGAGCTTTTTCCTGGTGTTTTTTTATGTATTTAACAAGGACAAAGATACAAATGTCATCTTCTAGGTTTTTAGTCTATACCCTCTGTCCTGGTTCAGGCGTCAAGCCCAGACTCAGGAGAAGTGATGCTACGTGATGTCGGTACTCGTCCCAGATGATGGGGCAAGACTGTGTTCCTTTTATGTGGTAACTATATGTCACCCAGATTCAACCGTCCCTTTATCTTATTCTCTGTATTACACACAAAATCTGTACTTTACACACACACACACACACACACACACACACACACGAACACACACACATTATATAAAACAAAATAAAAAGGGGGAAAGAACAATGACTAACACAAACTTTTCTCCTTTAAAGGAGTCTAATTCAGGATAAGAGTTCTCCTGTGGAAAAAGTAGAGGTCGTGTTGTAGTACAGAGGTAAAAGTCAGATGCCCCAGCTTTTTAAATCTTTCAAATGTAAATTCTGGAAAACTCCTTAGATTTGCCAGTTGTTGAAAGGGCAAAGGAAATCTCAGCTTCAAGAAACAGCTATCTAAGGTTAACCAACCTTCCAGGGATTCAAACCCGCATCTCTCGATGAGGAGACACGCCTGCATGGCACCTTGAGGTTTCTGGTTTTGTTCGTACAGGTAGGAAAATCAGACTTTATCTCCCAAGGAGAGTTGGGAGAGTAACTGAGGCAGCTCCTACCACCCATTGGCTCCCTCCAGCAAATTCGGGGCAGGGAGACGCCCTATGTAATAGGCTCTAGGGCTCCTCCAGGCAAAGCCTGGTTTACCTGGGCCTTGGTTCCTGCCAGCGATGCAGTATCTGTCTGTTGCCATCAGAAACATTTCCTGTCTCCTTATTTCTATAGAGCAGAATGCCATCTCCCATCTCAGGACAAGAGAGATCCACAAACAGATCAGTGAACGAGCACACACACACACACACACACACACACACACACACACAAGAATGAGCACACAAGGCTCGCAGTGGTGGCATTAGATTGAGGAGAACTGGGGAGACAGGAACAAGGTGGTCTCTCTCTTTCTCTCAAGCTAAATAACAATGAGGAAAAATAAGTGATAGATTTCTGAAAGCAATTCTATTTACAAGGATGGTCGGCTGCTCTTGTAATTGCTTTGCCAACTTCTATTTTTTGCTTTTTGGAGACCACTCCACTGAAATCACATCTTCACTGTGTTCAGTTTGCTGCTCTATCTGCTCCTCTGCTGGGATCTGACACGCTGGAGTCCTTTTGTCAAATGGCAGTTGAGCCACAGCTTCTTCATCACAAGGGCGGCTCTTTCACGTTCACACACATTTCCACCCAGGGACTCCAGGTGCACACGGGCAGCTCCGTGTAGTCACCCAAGCATCCCTATTCAGGTCAAGGCTGATGGAGAATGTTGCCCATTAGGGTTTCCATGGGGGATACATGGAACCATCAAGGCTTTGAAAATGGTGAGATTGTGATTGGACCTGAAGTTCAAGGTTTTAAAATCAACATCTGTGGTTCTCACCTTCCTCTGCGGATCAAGGGAACCACCCTTCATGAACACAGATTACTTCACTCCTTCCTTTTTCTTTTTCTTTTTCTTTCTTTTTTTTTTTTCCGGTACTGGGAATCGAACTCACGACCCTGTGCTTGCCAGGCAGGCACTGTGCTGCTGAGCTAAATCCCCAGCCCCCACTCCTTCCTTTTTCGAGTCCTTTTCAAAACTCATAACTCCTGAAACAGACCTCCCTGGGGAAAGCACTGTCCATGCATGGTGTTACCTGGGTCCTTGTAGATGCTGAGCACACCCTTGAAGTAATGAGGTAAAAATCTTTCCAGTAAAAGCAGCACGTCTTCCAGCTCCTCGAGAATCCCCACGAGCAGGAAGTTTTCATTCACGTTCAGCTTTGCGCGTTCAAGGGCCCACTCTCCAGGCTCCCTTTATGGAGATAAAAGTCATTTTTAAGTCAATGACTCATTTTTGAAATGCAGCAACAATACATGGGAAGTTGATCCCTCTGCGTGCCACCTCCCTTTGTGCAGGTCCAAATCTGATTTCCTCTAAGGACCAGCCCAGGGATAGCCTGGTCCAGAACATTCCCTAGTCCTTCTGGTGAGCGCCCTCCTTTGGTTACTTTCTCCAGGGTGTAATATCCAGGGCCTTGAACTGAGTGAGCCCTGTATAAACATTTGTTGAGAGATAAATACAGACCCATACATTTAGATCCTCACAAATGCTGATGGGGACCAATTAAATGAAGTTATAAATTTTGAAATATGAAAATTACTGACACAATATTTCTGCAGAAATCAAAACAAGTGTCAGTTCATGCCTCTAATCATCATATCCTTTGAAGAGCTGAAAGATAAAATTTTCTTAATTACCCAAAGGACACAGCCTAATCTCAGTGGCAGGCCAGAGCACTGAGTCAGCATTCAGGTAAGTGAGAAAGGCCCAGGAGTTGGGCTTCAGGTCTAGCTGCCATTTACCATTTGGGAGAACCTGGGCAAGCCAAGGTTCTTTTTTGAAAAATGGTGATAATAATTCTTGCCTACCTCAAAGGATTGTAAGGTTGGACAGGGTGACATTTGAAAGGGTTCTGAGCACCAACGTGTGGAAATTGAGATAAGGTACCCTGAGTACTCAGCTCAACAATAGGAAACAGGTAACTTCAGAAAGCTTGGGGAGTTAGAGTCATATTTCTTGAAATAAACATCTTCCTTGTGATCAGAAAGGAAGTCATCTGGTCCCATATCTTCCCAGGATGTGAAGCAACGAAAAAGGAAGTACTTATTATTGGGGAAACTTCAGAGGGAGGCTGTTGGCACTCAGGATGTATATGACGAGGCAGAAGGCAGACAGGTATAGCCCTGAAATTTGGACCATATGCAAACTTTTATGTTACAGTGAACTAAACAAAACACTAACAACATGCCTGATGATGAAGCAGAAATTACAGCATAAGCAAATAAGATGTGCTGCAATTGAGAACCAGCTGTTCCTCCTTGGCCTCTTCAGGAACACAACGATCCTCTGCAGTGTTTCCTTCGGGGGGAAATGTCACTTTTGTTGCAGGCTTTATGTTCCACCAAGTAAAGATAATATTATTGTTGCTGCCCCTTCTTCTCTAGGTCACAGATACATGTCTGTTATAACGGATGCCAATTCTAGCTATTCCAGAGCCACCTGCAGAGGTGGTTAGGAGCATCTGTGCCCTACCTCAGAGTTTGTGATTCTCTAGGGGTTCTTTACAAGTACCCAGGGATGCTCTACCGGATTTGCGCAGCCTATATACCCCAAGGGCCCTGGCAAGCTTAAGAAGTCACTTTCTAAAGAAATGAACACATTCAAACTAGGCCGATGCAAGATCACTAGAAAACAGTTTCCTTTTAGTCTACTAAGTGTGGGAGACCCTTTTGAATCTGGGTGTGGCTTTCTAGGTGTTAGACCCAATGAGATGGCCAGGACAGCTGTGCATTCATCGTGGAGGAGGAGGCTAGGAGCCTGTCCCTGGCCTCATGGGTTGAGAGGTAACAACTATGTTTTAGGTATAAAGAAAGGGTCTGATTGGCATTCCAATGACACAGCCATACTGGTGGTCCACTGAGGGCTTTTGCAAAAGCCTAACTGTAAATTTTATTGCCTATCAGACCCTGGGAGTTGCAAGTGAGATATCTGAAGGTTACTAGCAAATATAAGTAGAGTTGCAAAGGGTTGAGAGAACACGGTACAGAAGATTCCCAGAATGTCAGTCTGGTAGGTGAGCATGCTAAGAGCCTGGGTTAGTCTTTACCTGCATCGGGGATGCTGTCCACAAAAATACGGAATGATGTAAAATAACCTGGGGTTGGAACACTCAGGGTAGTTTTCAAGAATGCACTCATTGATATCCTAGAAGAGAAAACACAGCAGTGAGATACCTCATGGTTTCTGCAGTGTGTTGTTGAAAGCCACAGAGTTTAAGGAAGATTAATGCTTAAATTACAGTCTTGAGCAGATGTAGAAAATCCATACACTTGCCTAGAAAACTTTATTTGCTTCTCAACATCTGGTTCTACTGACCAGGTGCACATCTGGCATGCCAGTTCAGAGAGCAGTTTCTGGGTTGAGTACCTGGTGCTGGCACCTCTCACTGCTCAAAGGCTTTGGCTGGGTCATACATCATGAGAAGAGGTTACCCATGTGCTGTGGTGATCTCAGCAGCTACCAGCCAATGGTGAGCACAGAGTTAACAATAAATGCTTGTGGTATGAATTTGGTATGATTTAATTCATAATGAATTCGGACTTAACTGCATACCAGTATGGTCAGCCCTGCAGCAATGAGTTTCCCTGTGGTTCTGGATATACAACAATGATCAAGTATCTATAGTAGGTTCCCAAAGAATTTTATTTAAATTACTGAGGAGCTATAAAATGATATGCAATGTTACAAAAGGTTACAAAGTGACCTAATATAACATTAGATGTACTATATTAGGATACATGTATATGGACATCTTCACTTTCAAAGACAATAGGGTGAGTCCTAGATTTTCTGTCCCTTTAAAATAAGGCGAATACAACAATGCAAGGTCTTAGAATGGCTTGGAGCGGGTGGATAGAAGTCTCAGAACCTACTGTTCTCAAAGCAGGTGGCAGTAGATACCCTGAATCAGACATGCTTGGTTCTTAGGTATTTCTAAGGAGAAATGAGAAGCCAATTCACAGATCAAACAGCTGTGGAATGGTTTTTCCAGGGACAATATTGGTAAGGCTGATTAAGGGTAGAGTGTAACTCCCAAATGTGGTCAATGGAATTTGAGTCTATAGAAGCCACTTATTCTGAAATGACTGGCATAGGTGGTTATCTATTAGCAATTTTTCAATACAAGTTGGAATGTTGTTGTTTTTTATTCTGTTTTATTTTCTTTTGGTACTGGGAATCGAACTCATGACCTTGCATTTGCCAGGCAGGCGCTGTACTGCTGAGCTATATCCCCTGCCCTTATTATTGTTTAAACAGCACTTTCTTTTCCTTTCTTTGGTTTATATGCCAATTAAACTACATAATTACAACAGCATATTCAACTGGAATAAATAGAAACAAACACACGAGCATACTCAAGCACTTGAGTTTACTGGCAGGGAGCCGAGTTTCAATAAACAGCGAATGAATGAAGAGACAGCAGAAGGAGAGAGCCACGACACACAGACCCATAAGTAAGAGATGAAGCGGCTGGGCATAGTGGCACACGCCTGTAAGTCAACACTCGGGAGGCTGAGGCAGGAGGATTGCTGTGAGTTCAAGGACAGCCTAGATCACATAGTGAGTCCAGGCCAGCCTGAACTACATAGCAAGACCCTGTCTCAAAAAAGAAAAAAAAAGAGATGAAGCAGCTACCACCTCTGCTTGCTGAGCTTGTCACTATCTTGTCCTGGCCTGGAGGTTCATACAACCTCTGAAGGACATCACCTGGTCACTGAGGGGGATGGTTAAGAGGCACAAGGGCTTCAGAAGGACGTTTCCTTCCTGTGGTCCACAAACAACCTCGCAAAGTCAATTTATGGGAAGACATAAATTCCTAGTTTAAGAAATGCAGTTAACCATTCTCTCTCTCTTAGACCAAGGCACATCCTGGGGGATTTCAAAGAATCCCATTTGCGTCCATTAGGCTGATATATGGTGATGTATCATGATCTGTGCCCCAGGAAGACGTAAGTGGAGAACGACTCAGGTGGGAGAGTCAGACCAGAGCTGCTAAGCCCGCACATCCAGCCACTTGCTGTTTAGCACTTAAGCAGGGCTGCTGTGTGGTGGCCACCGAAGGACCAGAACCTTCGGGACTCAGTCAGGTTCTGGCCACTTACGCAGTCCACCTGACCGGGACCAAGTCCTTTGGCAAGGGCTACTTCCGCTGGGACAGTCTCACGGCAGCCACTTGCCCTTACAGCATATTCTCCTGCCGGGCGCCTCTCAGCCTCTAGGGACCATTCAGTTCCCACAGTGCTAATGATTTTTATGCTTGGTTTAAGGCTTCCTCACAATCTTCTTGTACAGAACTTTCCTTAGCACATATGTATTTTGAAATGATTATGCAACTTCAGGTTTTTAACCTTTGCATAAATTACTTCTAGAGTAAGATTATTTAAAAAAAAAACCCAACTCTTAATTCTTATGTCAAAGTTGTCATCACAGTGGTGACTTTAGCCAAGCCAACCTGCTTGCCAGCACTTGGTCGATGACTGGGTCCTCTGGTCTCTGCATCTTGACACTCACTCTCTTTTAAGATTAGATCTTAACATGAGACCCACTCTGCTCATCCTGTTATACCACCACTGGACCAGTGAGATAATCTAAGTGAACCGCTGACAACTATGACAGTCTTTTTCATTGTCAAGACTATAATATAATAAGGCCCCTTCAGGTGGAAATGATTCTAAACTGTACAAGTTTAAAATATATACAATTTAAATGAAACTCCAAGAAAAATGATTTAAAATATTTATAGTCTTGGCTGTTGAAAGGATGTGAGGTTCTGGTCTCAGGTCTGTGGATCGTTAGCTGAGTATCTTTGGCTGTCATGTTACCGCTGAGCCTCCGTGTTCCCGCATTTATAACATGCGGCTGAGTCACATCGTTTCAGTGCATGAAGCGGTAGGCAGACATTTCTAGTTCCTTAAATGAGTCAACTTTTTTTTTTTTGGTACCCGGAATTGAACTCACAACCTTGTCAGGCAGGTGCTGTGCCACTGAGCTATATCCCAGCCCAAATTAGTCAACTTTTAAGGACAGTTTTATATGCTGAAGATCTAGAAAAGCTGGTAATTTCATTGGTTCCTAAACTTACAAGTTAATAAAAAGCTTTTTCCCAGCAGTTACCAGTGAAGCTTTCTCACATTTCTCAGAAGGCCACCGTGAAAAGCTTTATGCTTAGTACCAGACGGGGCTCAGCTCAGATATTGGCTGCACCACTTATTTGCCGTAGAGTTCTTGGCAAATGTCCACGTTTTACAGGCTCATTGTCCTTATCCATAAAATGGGGCAATAACGTTTGCCTCATAGGCCCCTACTAAGAGTAGAAATCATGTATATCATTTATTCAACCTTACACCTCTAAAGATTATGCCACCTTTATTACACACATTATATAATTCCTTTCTCCCTTTAGTTTATATTTAAAAGCACCATTCCTAGTGATTCCAATAGTGTTTAAACAGTGACTTCAGCTAATCCACAGAGAAAACAGAAAGGAAAATATGGAAATATGAAGTGTGTTATTTAAGTTCAATCAAAAAATACAAATTGGGGGGCTGGGGATTTAGCTCAGCGGCAAAGCACCTGCCTGGCAAGCGCAAGGT